CCTCTGCGGAGATCGTGCGTGTCGAGTGCGCGAAATGCAGGCGAGAGCGCGATTCGTCCCATGTGCGCGCGACCATCTGCGGAGATCGTGCGTGTCGAGTGCGCGAAATGCAGGTGAGAGCGCGATTCGTCCGGTGTGCGCGCGACCCTCTGCGGAGATCGCGCGTGTCGAGTGCGCGAAATGCAGGCGAGAGCGCGATTTGTGAAATGACCGCGCGACCCTCTGCGGAGATCGTGCGTGTCGAGTGCGCGAAATGCAGGCGAGAGCGCGATTTGTGAAAGTACCGCGCAACCCTCTGCGGAGATCGTGTGTGTTGAGTGCGCGAAATGCAGGCGAGAGCGCGATTTGTGAAATGACCGCACGACCCTCTGCGGAGATCGTGCGTGGCGAGTGCGCGAAATGCAGGCGAGAGCGCGATTTGTGAAATGACCGCGTGACCCTCTGCGGAGATCGTGCGTGTCGAGTGCGCGAAATGCAGGCGAGAGTGCGATTCGTTCAGCAGCGGAGCAAGCTGTGGAGCTGGAAGCTGAGAACTGGCGACTTTGTAGTGCAACTTTAGCACGCGGAGTAGCTGGTGTAGTACAACTTTATAGTGCGCGGAGTAGCTGTGGAGCTGGAAGCTGAGAACTGGCGAGTTTCAAGTACAACTTTAGTACGCGGAGCAATCTGTGGAGCTGGAAGCTGAGAACTGGCGACTTTGTAGTGCAACTTGAGTACGCGGAGTAGCTGGGGAGCTGGAAGATGAGAACTGGCGACTTGGTAGTACAACTTTAGTACGCAGAGTAGCTGGGGAGTGGGAAGATGAGAACTGGTGAGTGGGTAGTACAACTTGAGTACGCGGAGTATCTGTGGAGCTGGAAGATGAGCACTGGCGACTTTGTAGTACAACTGTAGTACGCGGAGTAGCTGGGGAGCTGGAAGATGAGAACTGGCGACGTGGTAGTACAACTTTGGTACGCGGAGTAACTGGTGGGGAGTGGCCAGATGAGAACTGGTGACTTGGTAGTAGAATGACTTGGTAGTACAACTTTAGTACGCGGAGTATCTGGGGAGTGGCCAGATGAGAACTGGTGACTTGGTAGTACAATGACTTGGTAGTACAACTTTAGTACGCGGAGTATCCGGGGAGCTGGAAGATGAGAACTGGCGACTGGGTAGTACAAGTTGAGTACGCGGAGTATCTGGGGAGTTGGAAGAGGAGAGCTGGCGACCTGGTAGTGCAATTTTAGTACGCGGAGCAATCGGTGGAGCTGGAAGATGAGAACTGGCGACTTTGTAGTACAACTTGAGTATGCTTCATTCCAGCTCGCTTTTTTCAGTGAGATTTCCTGGAGGCGTGCACGCTGCTTCTCTCCTTACCAGCAGCCCAAATGCTCAGAACGATGAGCTGGGCTGTCACCGCTTGGCCGCGGGTGGGGGGTTTGGGAGGCCTGCGCGCTATTTCGTTCACGCCTAGAATCTCTCAGCGCAGATAACGAAAAGAAAACACGTATGGAACATCATCAAACGCATGAAACGAACTTGAGGCATTAGACCCAAAAGTCTTCCACGTCCGGTGAAAGTCATTGAGAACATGTCTCTGTTTTGGCCATCTTTGTATCCATATCCGTCATGCAGAAAGAAAACAAAAAAGAGAGAGAGAGAGAACCACAGAAATAGACATGTATGTGTTCAAACGTGTTCCACTCTGACTTCCTACGAGGTAGAGGCAAGTACAAGCTACTAGGAACAAATACATCGCTACTAGTAACAAGTGCCTTACTAGTAGTAACAAGAAGCTACTAGGAACAAGTGCATCGCTACTAGTAGTAACAAAGAGAGTTCTATTTTTGACGCAAGCTCCTTGGTCTGTCTGCGAAGAGTAGTAAGGCCGCTGATCGAATCCGCGCGCCAACGTTCTCGACTGCGGCCCAACTGCCTGATGCTAAATCAAAGTCAAAGCACCCATGTGGCAAAAAGTGCCTCGAGATCCTGTGATACAGCCTTAGTTCCCTCGGCGCTCGCGGAAGCGCGCGCCACCTTGCCACTAGACTTACAGGCTACGTTCACAAGTGGAGCGTAGACTTGTAAACATTCAATACATTGATCGTGTGCTACTAGGGGCTCCTGGCCGTACTACTAGCAACAAGAAGCTACTAGTAAGAAGAAGCTACTAGTAACAAAGGGCGTCGCTGCTAGGAGCAAGGAC